GGAGGAGGAGAGGAGGGAGGAGGAGGAGGGAGGAGGGGAGGGAGGAGGGAGGGAGGAGGGAGGAGGGGGAGGAGGGAGGGAGGGAGGGAGGGAGGGAGGGAGGGAGGGAGGGAGGAGGGAGGGAGGGAGGGGGCGGGAGGAGGGAGGGAGGGAGGGAGGGAGGGAGGGAGGGAGGGGGAGGGAGGGAGGGAGGGAGGGAGGGAGGGAGGGAGGGAGGGAGGAGGGAGGGAGGGAGGGAGGGAGGGAGGGAGGGAGGGAAGGGAGGGAGGAGGAGGAGGAGGAGGAGGAGGAGGAGGAGGAGGAGGAGGAGGAGGAGGAGGAGGTGGAGGAGGAGGAGGAGGAGGAGGAGGAGGAGGAGGAGGAGGAGGAGGAGGAGGAGGAGGAGGAGGAGGAGGAGGAGGGAGGAAGGAGGAGGAGAGGAGGAGGAGGAGGAGGAGGAGGAGGAGGAGGAGGAGGAGGAGGAGGAGGAGGAGGAGGAGGAGGAGGAGGAGGAGGAGGGATCGTCGCGCGTGGTCTCAAGGACAATCCAACACACAGGCCGCAATCGGGCTCGGAGGCTCCGTCCTCCCAGGAGTCACCGTCACTGTCCGGGCTGCGGCCTCTCTCCGTGGAGAGCCTCCCAATCTCTGCCGCCCACTCTAGATCAGATTCGACCAGCCCGAAGCAGCGGAGCACACTAATGCGCTGTTCCGTCTGGCTCGGGAGGGCCACTGGGGCGGCATAGGCCCCAGGCAGCTCGTGCACATCCCCATGCGGCTCGGCCCGCTGCGGCTCCCACGTGCCACGAAGCTTGCAGGCCGTATCTCTGCCGATGCCAACAGGGTGCCGTATGTGCAGATCCTTTGTGCGAGCCGTGGTGCTAGGGAACATGCCCTTGGCAAGGCGGCGCAATTGCTCACAATAGCGCGGCCCTGCGCAAGCCCCCCGGCATGGCCCTAGCATTTTGCACTGGGCTTCAGGGCAGAGAAAAAACCTACGCAATGGAAGCAACATGTAATCGATACGGCAGGACACTCAACTATGTGGGTACATACAGTGCGTCCCCGCCGAGGCGCAGAGCCACCCTACAGTATTGGCTCCACGACCCATCCCAAACGAATTCGAGTTCGGGCTCACGCTGGCTGCCCCGACGCAGGCACTCATCTGCGTCGGCCTGGCCGTCGACGGTCGTCTCGGACTCGCCAGCGGCAGCGTCCGGAACGGCTGGCGGTGCATCGACATGCGCATCCGCAGCTTCACCGACGGTTCCCCCATCGGCGGGGCCCGGCACGGCCTCGTAGTCGCTCACACCGTTGTCCATCATGGCGAGCAGCTCGCCGAACCAGCGGGCGTTCTCGCGAGTCAGATCCTCGAAGCCCTTCTACAGGTGGACTTCCCTGCTCGTGATGCCCGCGTGCATGTGGGCGCCCAGCTTGCCCAAACGGTCCACGGCACCGTTGGCCTCCCGCTCCCACCAGTGCGTGGACCTCCTCGCGTCGACGTCAGCGGGCGTAGCATGCCCAAGAGTCTTGTAGGCAATCAGCTCCCCAGGGCCGAAATGTCCCCACACGCGTCCCCAAAGATGAGGTCGCTGGTCCTCGGGTCGGGCACTGGCCCAAGGTCCGCCCTGCACCGTGTCGACCGTGCCCCGGCAGTCGGTGTAAACGTCGTGGGTGCCTGGCCAGACGAGGTCGCACAGCATGAACATGGCAACGTCCTCTCTGTCTCTGGACGTCTGCCCCGGGCAGCCCAGAGGGGAACCGGCCCATACGCCGCAGCCACCATGTGCCCGCCCCAACCTGTCGATCTGGATAACCGCCCAGCCAGCGCGGGCCAACTCAGGGATCTCCATGTAGAACGCGTTGCCGTCTGTGAACAATGGGCCCTGCAGTAATCCGTCGGGTGGGCAGTTGACCCACAAAACCGCGTCAGCTGGCTCCACTCGGGGCAGCAGGGGGGCTGGTGAAGGCAAGACCCCTCGGGCAAACCTTTCTGCGCCTTCCACGCTCCACTCGCGTACTCGGGCAGCCCGGCGCCGATGGCGTGCTCCAACCCGCTCCCGTCGCATGTGCTGGTGCGCCGGGCACTCGTAGCAGCGACGCCACACTGTGCCGAGACCACTCCGGCAGAGTGTGCAACGGCCATCCTGCACGAGGCCGTGGCCAAGCAAGCGGGCCTGGCTCCAGATGGTATTGCAGATACCAGCCCTGCGGGCCCGCTGTCGACGTCGTGTCCAGACTGCGGTCACGCGCTGAAGGAGCGGTCTGAGACTGCTCAAGCACACTGGAAGTGCCCCAGGATGCTGCGGCCCACCTGCCTCGTCCCCAGCGGCCGCGGCTGCAACGCCCGATCCGACCCTGCAGATGGCCTTTCTGTCGGAAGCTCGGGCGGCGGCAGCCTCTACGATGGTCCAGAGCTGGTGCGGCGAAGTGCGATGGAGGTTGTACTGCTCCGCCGTGTTGGTGCGGACGACTGCGCTGCTGACCGTCGTCCAACCCACGCGGTCGAGCGCAAGGACCAAGACGCCTGCCGGATAACAGGCCACCCGCCAAGGGGGCTTCGAGGC